TACATTCATTTTCATGGTGCCCCAACGCTCCTTCAGGCACAATCAGTCATTGCAGGACTTGTTCTCCCATTTCTACTCTGGGACTGGTGTACATCACAGACAAAACTCAGGACTGACACTCTCATGACGCCTTCTCTTGTGTTTTTGCCCAGCTGAAGTTGCAGGATCACAGTGGGGTTATGGTGCCTGCCCTGAAGAAGGCTTGGCATTTGGAGCAGCTGTGGGAGCTCTTCCAGATTCCTGAAGCAGAGCTTGTCACAGGGCAGCAGAGCACTTGCCATGATGCACCGGTGAGTTATTCTGGCATGATGCAATTAATTCCTGATAAAGGACCTCAAGGCTTGTCTAAAAATCAAGGTACAGTAGCATGCAACAAAGCCTTTTGCCTGTCAAGGGCTGCTGACAAAACTAAACATTAGGGTCCATGCCCTTCCCTCCAAATATCTATTTTGTTGTGCTGCTCCTTTGGCTAAAGATGCATGTTTCAGCCCTGGCATTTAAATTGGTAAGAAAATCTTCTTCAGACTAGAAGGAGAGGATCTGGGCATTATTGCTCAATAACTCTCAGGACTGAAAACGCTGGCCCTGAGCACTGACGTGAAGCAACCGGGTGGTTGTTTTGCACAATCTCAGCATGTGCCTGCAGATGGCTTTGTGCAACAGTAGCTGTCCTGGGATGGTAGGCATGATTTGTGTCTTATGTGGCTATAAACATATCAGTAGAAGGAGTTATTAATGATCATAACCCATAATTATCAGATGTTCAGTCCATTGATTATATTAAAGAACCTCTTACAAAGGTGTAAAGCATGAGCATTATCGCTGTTGCATAATGAAATCATTATGTAATGAATATGTAATTATGTAATGCACAAATAACGTTAATGACGCTGCCAAATGTTAACTGTATTAATCACTAGAGGGCAGATTATAATCCGTGCTGGTACTTTCCTGCTGGCTGCCTGCATCACGAGGAGGCAACAGCTCTCGGGGGCTCTCTGGCTGGCAGGCTGGGGGAGGCAGGGAGGTCCCATTGCCACCGGCAGAGAGAGGACACAGAGAAGGACTCCAAGTTCAGTAAGTCTGAGGGACGTTGCATCCTTCTGTCAAAACAAAAGGGAGCCACGGACCATGCTGACTTTTAGCAGAAATCTGGTTTATTGCTGTTTCTCAAGTTACATGAATGTGATTTTTTTACCATGTTTCAAATTTATGGCAGAGTCAAATCTCCAAGCCAATAATAAGACCGCTTGTGATAGTGCAGCTAATTGCATGCAAAATGTTGCAGGATCAAGGCATTTGTGATTATTTTACAAGCTCACTAGTATATAATATGTATCATACCCCCTCTTTTTTTGTCTTTTCAGAATTTATGCAAACATGTATGTTACTGTAAATTTTCCCCAGTGACAATTTATAAGAATCTGCGTTTTAAGCTTACTTAGAGTCTGTACTCCACTTCCAAAAATTCAGACTCAGTTTTGGTCTTAGCCTAAAGCCATCCTACCTATCCATATCCAGGACAACCACGGGGGATCTGGCGTGTGCTATTTCACTTCAACAAACCAAAAAAAAAAGAGTTGAATGAAGTTGAGATCAAGACAGTTCTCGTCTTTTCCTCCAAACCGTGGCATGCTGATAAAATCAGTAACGTTTCAATCCTTTGGATTTTTAAAGTAGAGAGAGACTAAATATAGACATGGAGGCCTCTCGCTCAACCTGCTGACCCTGAACCAAGTGACTGTAGGTTGCACGGACAAGAGCCCCATTGTCCTTTTCATTAATCAAACCCACTGAGCCAGGTAAATCTTTAAACAAGATGAATGGGCAGCATTTTTAAAAAGTAAAATAATTCACTAGGCTTTGGATGTGTTTCTCTTTAATTAGTTTGATGAGCACAAAGTCTGAAGTCTTGTCAAACACCCAGTATTAACTTCTGATGCTGACCTAGAAAAGGAGCGTTGCAGAGGTAAGAGAATGGCCAGGTTAAACTAACTGAATAAGAGATCTTTTCTGTTAAAGCCTTTTGCCAGATGAAAAGAATCATTACCACAATGATACTTCTAATTATACTGTCATTAGGGTAGTACTGCAGGTTCCTATGGTGCATGAAGCTCTCCTGCTTTCAACAACTTGATCCAAAAAGGGTAAAATACAGGTATTAACCCTTTCACAGGAAGTAAAGCTAAATATTTAGGCAAGCTAAAAGAAGAGAGCTTATTTTGAAGTCAAGTTGTAATATTTCTGACGTTTCTGGAAAATTCACGAGGGTCTTTTTAAAAAATTCAAGTAGTAAACAATACTGAAGAGTAAAGTACCTGGCCACTGTGCATTCTTGCCAGAGGCCAAAGATGGAGAAAATATGATGTGTGTTTCTCAAGACAGCCAAAAGGGAAAGAAAACATGCTTTATTGCTGATCTAATTGTTGCCTGACTGGAAAATGTGAAGTGAAGTTTCTGGCTCTAAGTTGATGTCCAAAGCATTGAAAAAGAGCCAAAAGCAGATAACGCACTGGGCTGCAGACAACAGCATAGTTCAAGGTCTCTTTCAACTCATGAAGCATCTGTTTAATCTATGAAGTGAGAAATACTTCCATTTTTTTTATAACTTTTAAGTTGCAGATGATGCTATGACATAACTAGAAGGCTTTGTCTTTAGTTTGGAGACCTGGATGTTCAACTCTTGGATCCAAAATGTATCCAAAATCACAAGTATGCTTGCAACTACAGCCCAAGGTGTAAAAAATCATGTGCTATTAGATGCTGGCATAAGACACCTTCCACCTAGTGCTTAAATGCTCCTAGATTTTGGATAGTAAGTCCGAGTTGACCCTTGTCTAAAACTGACTTGGAGGGGTCAACCCTTGCTCTGTCCAGTGTAAACGTTGTATTTTCTTCCTGTTTTGGATAGAGTCTAGCTCATATTTCCTTCTTCAGGAGCAGAAGGTGGGACCGTAGACTGTTCTGTCAATGTGGAACAAAATCGTGTCATCTTCAACATTTGAAGAGCAGGGGACTTGAACCTTCAGGGTTCCAAATGTCCAGAGTTACCAGAGCGTTAAGTAGGCTGCAGCTCTCCCATCAGACTTGGTGAGGTGTCCCCAGGCAGGAGTTTCTTCAGGCGTATAGCTGAGGTGTGTTTTGGAGATCCAAAATTAGAAGCCCATCTTCAAAGAAAAGGGAGAGATGCCTTGAGGAAGGAGACTTGGAGGAGTGAATTGTGCCTGAGGCAGATGGTGTGAATGCTGGGGTGAAATGAGAATCTTTCAGTGGAAGAAATAGAGCAAGGCAGGTAGATCAGAGTACCATACCACAACAGCCAAATGCATAAAGGGAAAAGGAGAAAGGGCAGATGGGAAGAAAGAGATAAATTTCCACAAAGGGGGAAAAATAACAGTATTTGTGTATCCCTGTATTTTGAGGGAATGGCTTTTTTGGGGTGCTCAGCCAGTGACACTGCAGTACCACAGTGCAGCTTGTGGCAGTTTAAAGTGAGGATGTGGCTGTGGAGGTTTTGTGAATCCCAGAAGCTTCTCTTTGATGACTAAGTAGTTATTAGCTCTTTTGAGACCGAGTACCATTTGGATAATTGGTGAGTGGACTGTGACCTGAAGTACTGATAAACTGGAGGGAAATAATTCAAAATTCTTTTCAGTTTTACTCCATACCGCTTTTGTTTCATGTTCACACAACTCAATCTAAAACATGAATCACTATTTTCATAAGAGAAATCATAATTGGCATAATTTGAAGGGAAAAAAAAAGCAGTAACACTTGCTAATATGGGCACAAATCAATTAATAAAACACCAAACAACATACTGTGGCTGATTTGTTCCTAAAATATTCTCTCTTCTACTTTAATAGGCAAATGTATTTTCTGTTATGGTCAGTATTTTAAAAAGACAGCAGGATTTATCCCGTCTGCCCCATTTTTTTAATCTTTGCTGTTAGCCACCATTTAAAAGCAAAGGACCCAGTCCTTTATGCCTGAAACTGGTGGGAGTTCTGTCTAAAATCACAAGTGACTTCATGTATGGCCATAGAGTTGTACTGATTGGAGTGACATTGCAACGCTGCCTGCCATGTGCAGACAGGACATTAAAAAAAAAAATCCTAGGAAACTCACTCCAGACTTTAACATGCTGATGAGGAAGACTTCCAGTTGGCAAAGGAAGTTTGTCACTGAATTTGTCACTGCTGTGGCTGAGAAGCTTTCCTGAGCTAACAGGAACCCGCGCTCATGTTCCTGGTGGATTTCCCACATCTCCTTTGCAACCCCGTGAGCTGGGGGTTATGAACGATGCCTATGCTTTTTTAGAGGAAAGGAGTGGATTGGCAAAGACCTCGGGCTTAGAGCAGTCCAGCCAGCTCACCTCCTGTAGGCTCACATGAGCAGTTGAGCCTGCAAACCCAAAGGAGTGGTAGTGATGAGCAGGTTTCTAAGGAGCAGAAGGTAGTGCAGCTGGAAGAGAACACACTGCAATCAAAAATATCTAGGCGCAATAAAATTGCTGTATTTTTACTATAAGAGTGTCCAACATAACCCTACATTGTGCATCTCTTGAGGCAGGAGTGGAGAGGTGACTGGTTAGCATGTGGAGTACTTTCTGAATTAGCTCATTAGCTTGGGTCTAACCCAGCCTCCAATTTGATCTAACTGGGTCCAACTTAGCCTCTGTCCTCCACTGCTCTGAAACCTTGGGGAGATACACATTTTCATCTGAGCTTTACAGTTCAGCATATGTGGAGGACTGTAGGGTGAGATGTTCAGGCCATGTCACTTTTTTTTGCATAGTATCAGACAGTACTTTAAGAAGGTCTTGTAGAATCAGTTTTTCCTTTTAAACTTGGAGCAGAGTCAGATTATTTTAAAGCACTTCGAAATATTGTCCCGTAACAGCTACTGCTCCTTTTGCAAGCCAAGTGACTGGGTGTGGGCAGCCCTGAAAATAGAGCATTCATTTATCCCCCATCCCATCCCATCCCTGCTCCAGAACCCGCCGAGGTTTGCCTGGCTCCCTCTGCTCCCCTCCCCTCTGCTCCCTGCTGATGGATGTCGATCCTGCTCTGGAATGACACAGCTGGTGGCTTAAGGAGGCATCACCATCCCTGGAGAAGGAGGAGAAATCACAGGTGAGTACTTTAAGAAAAGAGCCTGATGAGCAGCACCCCGAGAGCTGGCCTTTTGTTGGCTTTATTTTTGTATTTGTTTGTAAAGTGAATTCACATCAAGACATAAATTCGCAGTTTACTTTAAGCATATTTTTGCTGGAAAAGTGCCTCACCTTTAACTGCAGGTGTAATAAAATGGCTGACTTCATATGTCTTGAAAAATCTCTTTTTATCCCTTTTTTTTAATCACTTTGGGCTGCAAAGATTTTTTTTTTCTTTTTTTTTTTTTTTTTACATTCTCACCAGTGCTCACCTTTAGTAAACTAATTTCCAAGTACAGGAACTGTAATACTGCATTCTTCATGAACTGCAAAATTACTTCAATTATTACCTGTCCAGTCATTTATTCTTGTTGAGTTAGTACGTGGAAAATATTTTACAACTTTCTTCAGAAAATATTCCTCTTTTTCAATGTATATGGGGCCTGTATTGTATATAATCTCTCCACAAGATAAGAGTTTAATAAAGAACACTCAGATTTTTTTAATTTTTGTATGTCTATAACACCTATTTTGCCGATGCTTATAGATTTTTTTAGGTGATTTTACTTTAATTTTTAAATTAAAAGGAGATATGAAACTTATTTCTGACATAATTAGAAACCTAAAATGTAAGTTTGCTCACTGAAAACTATATCTTGGAGTTCTTTTGCAATACAAGTTAATTAACTGGATTTAGATATTTGCAAGATGATATATTTAATGGGATTACTGCTCATATAATGTTCTCAGTGACTGATTTGGAATCTAAGCTCAGGGAACAGAATACCGAGTTTCCAGCTCTTTGAGAGTTAATGTTGTGTTAAAGAAAAGTACAATTTGAACCTTATTGTTGATGAATAGGGAAGTTATTCTGGTGAAATGGAGCCGGTCCCTACAAGGGCTGCACGAGGCAGATGCCTGAGCAGGAGCGCGCAGAGAGCGACATTCCTGCGAGCGCTCGGGGTACAGATATCCCCACACCTGAACTCCTGGCAAGTTCAAGGCAATTGCCTATCTCATCAAAACATAATGGCCCTTTATTCAGACCCCGTCTCCCAAGTGGGATCAATTAGATGCTTTGGTCTGCAGGCTCAAAAATAAACACTCATGTTTTCATTTATATTTAGAATGAAAATGAAGACAGATGACCGTGGCTTTTCTGCCCGCTCCTGTCATGTTTTGAAACTACTGTTAATTTATTCTTTCAAAATATTGATTGTCTTTTTAATAGAAAAATGGCGAAAGCTAAATGATAACTTGCTCTGGGGAAAAATACAGGAGCCCTGACAAAGAATATTTCCATGTGCCAATATATCCCACATTAACGTCTATCTTCTTTTTAAGGCAAATATATTTCTCTGTGTCAATTTGGTTCACTACAATGTTAGAGTTTCACTCCTGGCACAGGATTTCTCTAATGAATATGATAATTTAAATCTTATGATCAGAGTACTACTTTTAAAAGAAATTTGAACATTTTTTTGTTTAAATGCTATTAAGTGTTTCAATATTAGCTCAGTCAAATAACTATTAGATTGGGGAATTTATATTCTCACTTTAGAGGATGGCTGTGTAGTTCTACAGTTCTTCTATATTGTAATATTTTTTAAAAGTACTTCATAAGTAAAATGATAATTCATGTTTAACCAGAATAGATTTTAAAATTTAACCAGTGTTCAAAAGCTCCAGTGAGTTCAAATGTCTTAACATTTTTATTTGTGAGAGTAATTTTCATTTTAAGCTTTGCTAAAATGAAGTCTAAAAGAATTAACTGGATAAGATCATTCAGTTTGCAGTGGTTCACCAGCACGTGTGCTGGAATGCAGAAGAAAATCCCACAAAGAGGAGATACATTCATGCACCTTCCAAAATCAGAGTTAAAATACCATTAGAAATGATACTGTTGTTTGGGTTTGGGATTTTTTTTTGCCAGTTTTAGCTTTTTTTGTATGACATATTTTGATTTTAACATAAAAGCCTTGGTTTGGATGTGGTTGTGTGCTCTGATCAGAGGGGGTTAGTAGCACAGATGAGAAACAGAGTGGGCTTCCCTGTACCTGCAAAGTCAAGGGAGCTGTCAATCAGAGCTGTGCCAAGGCAACCTTGAAGTCTCATGTTTTACATGAGTGTTACGTTATAAGTATTTCATTCTAAGTATTTTAGTACTTGAATAAGCTGCTCTTGTTAAGCTAAATTTAGATCTGCTCTGTTTATGAATGCATAAAAATATGCCTGTCTATTTTTCCTGATTTGTCTGTAGTCAAGACAACTGTGAAAAGTGCCTTACAATACAGGGCGATCACTAAATAGACCAAAATAGATTAATAGCTTACAGAAACCTCCTAAAATATTCTCAGCTCATGTATTTGTGAAGAGTTTGTGATCTTAGAGTATGATATTCTGTGATTTACCAGTAAAGGAATTTGAATTGTGCCTTTATGTTCCTGTCCTGTAGCATGATGTTCTTTTCTCTGGCCAGGGCTTTCACTGATGCAAACCCAGATACTGTTTTTCCTGGACCGAACAGGAATGCCACTGTATGAGGGGGAATTCCAGAGCTGAGAGAGAGTTTTTCCTCCATTCTTCAACTTACCCCATGCATATTATCGCTGGGTGCATCACGGGGAAAAAATGAGCAATTAACAGCTTTCTTCCAACCGTCGAAGTGACTTTGTGAGTTTACAAAGTCAGGTTTCTGTAACATTGGGCTTTCATCTTCAGATCTTTTCAAAACACAGTGGAAATAGCGAGCAGAGGCTTATGACTGCACAGCAATATTGCATGCCCAAGAAATGGCCTTTGCTGTGTCAATGTGAAAGCAGAAGGAAGATTTCAGGGAGGCTGGAGTCAACGGATCAACCACCATTTGTCAAGGACTCCAGAACAAGCAGTCGTGGGGCTTCTCTTTTGCTCTCAGTATGTGGAATTAGTGTTCTCTGGGATGAAGTTACAGCCATAGGCACAGATAGCAGGGAGATAACGAACTAATGCTTGGAAAAAGTAGGAGATTTGATCAAGGTATGTTAATGAGCTAGGCCAAGGATGGTGTGTCTGATTTAACAGTGTTGATAGGGATTGTGCTTGGGGAGTTTCTATCAGCTGGGACTAAGGTCAGTCGTTTGTGCAGAGTTATAACAGCAGCAAAAAATATATTACAAATAAGTCCCATTAATTTGAATTGCCTAGTGTTTAGGAGAAATATAAAATGACATCAGACTGGAGGAACTTTGAAGACACAGTGTACAAGATACACCCTATCAGAACACATAATTTGTCAGAATTTAAATACTTTTCCAAAGTCAGATATTGCCAGAATGTCTGAAAATGTCTTGACAGTATCAAAATATATCTTTTGGAATGAGCTGATGATGCTGGTTTGGCTTTTTGATCCAACTTTTAAATATTTTTTTTTTCTCAGTATTCTGTTCCATTGAAAGTTGAGCTGAAGCAAAGCGTCACAAAACATTTTTGTCTAAATTACTGTAATTTTTTTCCATTTATAAAAAGAACAGTAGTTACAAGCTTATCTTGACAGATGTATTTTACAACTATCTTCTATCTTACGTCTTCTATCTGCAGATAAGTACAAAAAATACAGAGTTTCACTGTTGAAAAGGCAATATCTGAAAGCACCAAGAAATGTGTTCCTGTATTAATCAGAGAATAATTTAATTCTGTACTAATAACAATTTAGAAAACACAAAATGAAGCTAGTACCTTTGTGAAATTATCATTCATTACACATATTAATTGACAGTGCACTCCAGGAATTAATTGATACGAGCATGGGATCTGGCAGTTATGGCAGATAGCGATGCTCTTCTCCAAGAAGAGGGAACATGCAGTACCAGTGCAAGATGACAGTGTTCTCGGGCTCCTCGGTGAGCAGAATGAATTGTTTCTCAAATGCATCATTTACCCTCGCAAAGAGCCGTTGGAGATTCTTGGATCAGGCCTGAGAGCAGCTAGGTATTCGCTGTCTCAATTTCAGCCCAAATATAATGTGCAAATGGAGGAGTTCATTGGGAAAGCATTTGGCAGCCCTGGGCAACCAGCTTTTCCCAAAATGAGAGCCTGTGGAAAGCTGTTTTCATCTTCCCAAGCCACTGGCCTTATGGACTTCAGCAAACAAGTTTCCAAATAATGAATCTGCAGTTCAGTTTCTGGCCAAGGCGAACGAGCACACGTTAACTCATTCAGAAAGGAGATGAAAAGCTCACATTCAGGATGCATTAATCTGAAAACAAGTGTACTTTTGTGTCTGGGGAGTATTATTTTCATTGCCATCAATTTAGAACATAGATAGACTGTGATTCTAGCTTCACTATCAGGTTGCCCCGCAGGCTGAGACCCCTCCCCAGGCCACTCTATTTAATTTAGACTAATCTAAAGCTAAGTGAAACTTTGTACCCTCTCTGATTTCTCCCCATGATGGGGAACACTCTGATTTCCCCTTCCCTGGTGACCTGCTCGGAGCTGCTGGGGAGATGGGGAAGGAGCAGTACGCAGGAAAGTGACCCCCAGGTAAGGGGAATCGTTATTTGTGCCAGCTGACAACCTATTAACGGGTGACAAAAGTGTTCAACCACTTCTTCCCTAGAAGTTGTTCTATTAGTTTGGATTTTCCTTCACTTTCACACTGTTCTCTTGAAGATAGACTTTGGCACATGCGTTTTTCAATGCGCTGCACGTATCAAGAGAGATAAATCTCCCGTGGAGTAGAATGAAATCCGGTACTTAATGCTGCTCTTACACAATTCTTGTGCTCCTACATTTGCAGTGAAATTTGATGTGGCAGGAATTGGGGCCTGTATTTTTCATGTTGGTTTGTTGTGCTGGGCTTTTTTTCATGGAATAAAATTCTCATTGGGCTGGAGGTCGGCAAAACAGGTCTCTGATTCCTCTGGGCAGCTGAACTGGGGGCAACATGCATCCTTCATTCTCAACCTTCTTTTAGAATAAAGTAACACTGAAAGGAGAGAAGGGGACTGTGTGCATGTGTGTGACTTTGCATGGACATGTCTGGTACAGAGGAGAGCCCTCATCTTTACTGGTACTTCTGTGAAAGGCAGTGAGCAGGGTATGGGCATGTCTCATAGTTGTTGCACAGAGTCTGATGACAATAACAAATTTTACACAGTACTCTGATTTCCCCTTCCCTGGTGACCTGCTCGGAGCTGCTGGGGAGATGGGGAAGGAGCAGTACGCAGGAAAGTGACCCCCAGGTAAGGGGAATCGTTATTTGTGCCAGCTGACAACCTATTAACGGGTGACAAAAGTGTTCAACCACTTCTTCCCTAGAAGTTGTTCTATTAGTTTGGATTTTCCTTCACTTTCACACTGTTCTCTTGAAGATAGACTTTGGCACATGCGTTTTTCAATGCGCTGCACGTATCAAGAGAGATAAATCTCCCGTGGAGTAGAATGAAATCCGGTACTTAATGCTGCTCTTACACAATTCTTGTGCTCCTACATTTGCAGTGAAATTTGATGTGGCAGGAATTGGGGCCTGTATTTTTCATGTTGGTTTGTTGTGCTGGGCTTTTTTTCATGGAATAAAATTCTCATTGGGCTGGAGGTCGGCAAAACAGGTCTCTGATTCCTCTGGGCAGCTGAACTGGGGGCAACATGCATCCTTCATTCTCAACCTTCTTTTAGAATAAAGTAACACTGAAAGGAGAGAAGGGGACTGTGTGCATGTGTGTGACTTTGCATGGACATGTCTGGTACAGAGGAGAGCCCTCATCTTTACTGGTACTTCTGTGAAAGGCAGTGAGCAGGGTATGGGCATGTCTCATAGTTGTTGCACAGAGTCTGATGACAATAACAAATTTTACACAGTTTGCCATCTTTTTTCTAGGCATATTTTCATTTATTACAACTGTGCAGCTCTTTGTGAGGTTAAGCGACATCAATATCTACATGAGAATCTGTTTTGGGCAACATCTGATGTCAAGTAGACTTTGGCGGTTTTGCTACATCGTTCCTTCTGCTCCTCTGGAATTTACAGATTAATCCATACATGAGCACATGAGACCTCACAGAAGCATCTCTGATAGAGTCTTGCTATCATTTCTGATAACTGGAGCCAGTTTGTTTGCTTGCTTTTTTTTCTTGTTCTTCTTTTTTTAATTTTTATTTTATTAACCTGCCATGATTTCTTTCTCGAGACGAGCCAGTGAAGAAAAAAGATTCTGCACAATGATGGTCCTCAACTGGCAAGCACTCAGCAGGCAAATCAGCAGGTTCCCACACATAAAGAATCACGTTATCATTCAGTTTGGGCTCTTCACTTCTTATTTAAAGAAGTAACGAGATGCAACTGGCTGTGACTCTTAATCTTTTACAAAGCAAAATTTGGCATCTCTGGTCAAAGGCAAGGAAAAATTATCTGCATCAGTACTCTGTTTGAATGTGTTAATCAGTAAATTTGAATTACTCCATCAATAACCAATGAATAAACAAAAGTGAACAGAAATGAAAGCTAGTCTGCGCAGTGCTTGCAACATATCTTAAAACATTACTTATAATGGAACAATTTGGAAATATTCAGCAGGTTTTAAAAGGTACTGATAAAGTATCGAAATTTTCCTGAAGTCTTTGACTTCACTGTTTCCATGGAAAAGGTGTTAGAAGTGATGAAATTATTAAACTTATTAGTACTGATTGACCTTGAATTTTCATGACCTTACTCTCTTATAATTGCAGCTGGAGGATTTCAGAGGAATGATTTAAAATTTAACAGGTTTCATCAGATTAATGATAGAACTGATGAGCTCCAGATCAAATCTGGAGGATGGAGAGTTCTAGTTTTCAACACTGCAAGGAGGAGATACGGTAAGGGAAAAGAGATCTTAAATTTATCTCCTGGGCATTGCTGGGCTACAGCTCTCCTTACTTATATACTTATACATGTATAACCTGCACATCATGAATTTTCTTCTTCCTCTCATCAGTTAGAGGACAAATACATTTTTTATTGTCCTGTCTAATGTAACTGTGGGTCAGTCATCTCATTGTCCTCATAGATGATTAATTCACCTGTATTTTGTACCTCATTTTGGTCTAAAGACAAAGATTGTGGACAGACAATTAGCAGCAACCATGCTGCAAATTTAAATGAAAAGGGCCTGATTATGTTTCTCATAAACAATTGTGTTTTTCTGATTCAGAGATGCAATGCAAAAAAATTCAGCAAAAAAAAATTTATTTTTTTTTCTGGTGGCTCACAAAACTTGCACGAACAAGACTTTTATGTGTGTGAAACTGCCAAACTGAAGCCAGGATTGGAACTCTCAAGGGGCTGAATATTGAGCAAAAGAGAGAAATGAAACAGCTGAGTTACTACACTGAGAAACATATGTGCTATACTTACACATTTACCAGTGTTCAAAAGATTTTCTGAAATGTAGCTGCTCTCTTGAAAATTATCTACATGAGTGTCTGGAGTTGTAACATATCTGCAGGAGCCATTTTAACCTCTCAGGTAAATTATACAGCACCGCAAAGGAGTTTATAAATGGGTGTTTATCCCTTAGATGGAAATCACTTTGGAGGAGCTCAGCCTAATGGGTGAATAACAAGCTGTTTGAAAACTGTTTGTGTGTAAACGCCCAGGACAGCAAAGCAGCCATTCTGAAGTAGAGTCTTTTTATTATCCTTCATATTTTTTTCGTTAAAAAACCAAGAAATTATCTCAAAACAACGATAGTGTTGTCACACACAGCAGAGCCAGGAAATTCAAAGTTATGGCTGATGTTGATTCTAATTCATGCAGCTGACAGCTCTTAGCCTAATCAACCATTTCACCACTACCCTCTAAATTATCCGAAATCTTTTATTTCAGTGAGTAATGTGTGCTTAAATTAATCAGGCATGCTGCCTTGGCAAATCCTCCTGCGTGTCCTCTCCACTCCTGCAGAAGTCAACAGACAGACATCAAACAGTCTTTCCTGGGGAAAGATTGGCTTCTCCATGGCAGAAACCGTAAATAGTTCCTCCAACTTCAAGAGAATTAGCTGGGTTTTATAGCAGTGTATTTGCAGAGATTTTGGGCTTTTATCTTGAAATGGAGAGTTCTGCATTGTGGTAAGAAATAACTAGGACTGCTTAACACTTCTCCCATTTCATTTTCCCAGGTGTATCTATTTGATCAGGTTTTCATATTTAAGTATGCAGCACGTGTTTTATGTTGAAAGAAAACTGCAATATTGAAGGATAGTAGAAGAAAACTAGTGTCAGAAACAAAGGAAACAAATATACTTGAATTATACTGTAAAGACTACGCACAGAAATGAGACTATCTAAAATATGCATTAAGGGTTGATGAAAACGTTGCTGATATCAAAGGAAACTGTTTGCGTTGACTTTGGTGAACATAGAATTTGATGCTTGTTTTGCAGACTCCAAAAGATGTCGGGACAGGGCTCTTGCACCTTGGTGACTGTGTCAACCAGATTCAGTGGTGGGTACAAGCAGTGAGGACACCAGCTCCAGTCCCCGTCCCTCTGCTGTCCCCGGAACTGCTGTGGCAGGATTCTCCAGGCTGGGTTAAAGACTCAGTGAAATCTATTTTGTAACAGACAGACGAGGAGCAACTTCCACAGAGACCTACTGCACCAACTCATGGTAATGTCTATGGGCTCTCGCGGTCTGTAACAGGGGCAGGTGGCCTGAACCAAGGTTCACCCTTCTGGGAAGTGCTCCAGAGAGGAGCAAATGAGGCTTTCACCTTTCCGTGCCTCCACATTATTTCCCTGTTCCCTCCTCTTCCACTGCCTTCTCTCTGGGGGTCAAGATGACACCTGAACCTTCTTTAATCGTGGCCTATCTCATTCCAAACGGACAGTTATGTGTTGTTTCTGTATTCTTCCTATCTATCCTTTCTACTTTTCTTTCAGGTAGCTCTATTTGTTGCTATCACGTGTTTTTTTCCCATAAATATTCTCTTTCAGCTTTTGATACCTCTTTTTGTTACCAGAGTCATACATTGTGCCCCTTCTCACAGTAATCTCATGACCCGCAGGTAATATACAGTACTAAAGTAGATGAAGTCCCTTCTCTTTCCTCAGCCAGCACCTATTTTCCAGCCCTGATAACATTATGTGCCTGGGGTCAAGTTAAGATGAGTTCCACAGAAAAAATATTTCTTTCTCTTTGGTAATTTAAGATTGAGATTGGGAGCCAAGGGTACAATACTTCAGGAATAGCTCTCCATGTAACAAATCCAGTTTGAAGTAACCTTCTAGCATTTTGTCAGAGATTCAAAAGTATGCTGAAAAGGTGAAAATGAGGCTTCTACAAGCAGAGTTTTAAAATACAAACAGTTGACTTGGTTTGGTTTTTTTTCTTTTCTTTAATTTGTTGTCAGTGTGGCATGCAAGGGTGCAAATAAATGAAAACTGAGCTTGGTGGCTGAATGGTAGGACACTACTTCTTGCATTTAATACTATTGAAATTAAAACTCAGAGGCAAAGTAAAAGAGAAAGGTCTGAAGCTCACCATCTCATGTCTACAAACATCAGAGCTCCCTTGAGGATGGAATTTTCACCACCTGAGAAACCTGAAATTTCCAAACTCAGTTGCATCATTGAAATTCTAGTGTCAGGTGAAAATGATCCCTATTCCTTCAGTCAAAGAAACTCAGGTCCTTCTGTCAAAAATGCTTATGCTGTCATTGTTACCTCTTTTTTCTGTACACAGGACCTGCTTATCAAGTCCTTTCATCTGGATCAATGGTAAGGTGACAGAGAGAGCAGTATTTGTGACTTAGAAATCAATAATATCAAATTTACCCATATGCAAAAAAAAAAAATTAATTTGTCTTATAAGGAATAACCCATAGAGAAAAACATGCTTCTTTTCATGACATGCAACAGCTTTAAAAGCTTGAAAGGCTACTTGGCTCCCCAAATGTGTGGTTGTACCTGCTCTCAACCAGACTTTGTGTCCAAAGTCATCTTCTTTTACCATGAAATAAAACTTGTGCTCCATGCAAACAGAAGGACTTTTGCCAGTCCTACCATTAGAGGATTGTGTCCCCATACCTTTACATCTGCTTTACTATTTTAAATAATTCAAAAGTTTAGATCTATCCAAGGGAAAATTTCATTTAAAAGTCCGAGAACAGCCTTAAATAATTTTCTCGTTTAACAGAAGTATACGGATTTTTTTAAAGTTAAATAATATATTTTACCATTTTTAGCTAAAATGCCAGCTGTTGTAATGAAATAGGACAGTGAGAGTTACATTAGGAAGACCTCTTTCTTAGCTGTTGGACCCAACAAGCTGTTACCACAGTGCTAGCCAGTGCTGTCATGACAGCTCCAAGTGGAAGATGTACCAATGTGTCACAACTGGCGTTGTGTTAGTAAATACCATATGCCTGTTATTTTTGATTTCTTGAGAAGGTCTAAGGGGAAGGAAAGTATTTGATGGAAATGATGTTTAGTCCTGAACTTAGCTTTCACATTGTGGAAGAATGAAAATTAAAACTCACCTAAACATAGAAGGAAACGCAGCCAATCACAGCTGAAGGATTAGTAAAAAGTGTTAAAAATATTATATGAATGTTTTAATTACAGAGAAAAAAATATAAAATGCCCAGTAATTACAGTATATTGATTCCATTTTTTTTTCTTGAAATGCTAAAACTATTTCAACACACACAGAATCAATAAACATAATTAAAATATGAGCTCATCAAAACAGTAATTAAATGTACTTAACAGCTTTTGTGGCTTTTCTCCATATGGTTACTGTGGGAGTGTGAATCTGGCTTGCTAGATAAATGTAACAAAATAAAGTGAAAGCCTGGGAAAAGATTACTGTGGTATCATAAGCAAATACAATAAAGTCTAGCTCTATAATAAGTTCCAATAAATCAAAAAGTTGACAAAGGAAGCAGTGTTTACAATTATTAGAGAGAAATTCTGGATGTTTTATATTTTTATGGGATTAACACTATCATGGACTTCATATAGAAGCCAAATCAAATCTTTCTTCCATCATTAAAGCAGTTCCACTGGAAGACTCTCTGTTCAATGAAAGATATTTGGGAACGTTACGGGCTTGCTGGTGTTGGTGACAAATCACTTGACAGCTGTCATTCAGGGGGCCATCCAGCTCAAGGACCTCATACAGCTGCTTGGAGTTGCCCTTCGGAGCAGCAAATCTCTCTCCAGTGATTAGATAAAGCAGCGCCACTGCCAAAGCAGAAAGTAAATTAGGTGCTTAAAGTGGGGCGTGTGAATACCTCTCCTCCACCCTTTCTCCCTCCCTCCTCCCTGGGCACATGTGCGGTGTCATGAATAATACAGAAAAATCAAGGGATGGACGATGCTTTAGGAAAAAAAAAAAAGAACATAAGAGATGAATAACTCTGGAGCTGATTTCTTCAGAAGTCACCACGGGCACCTATGGGCTACGCAGCTCCTCCTCCTCCTCCACTGCCTTTTCTGGAGCCCTCACCATCTCCCTCTGCCGTGTCTTCCAAGACCCTTGGGAATTACGCCGTTTAAATGCCGTTTTTGTATCACTGCCATGACAGGTAAGTGCAGACGACATGCAGTGCGTGTGTCTTACCTGTTGCCTGGATGTAAAAGAGTTTGCAGGGGTGTAAAGGGAAGCCTTACCAGCCTCTTCTCCCTTGACTGAACCGACACTGTCACTGATTTAATGAGAATATACGAAAGTAATCAAGGTAAATATTGTGTGGTAAAAAAAAATTAGAAGTGTGAAGATGTGGTGACACACCATGTCTTTAATTAAAAAAAAGGAGAGAGAAATGTATTTTTTTAGAGCCCAATGCACATGCAGTAGGGGTTGCACTGGCTGTATAAAGAAAGTTATTGCTACCTCGTGTTTTCCCTCACCACCTCTTGACCTGAAAAAACAGGTGCATTTCAAAACGTGATGCATAGCAGTGTATTGCAGTGATAGTCACAATTCTCCCAGTAGCTTATGGCCACCAGTGTACCTCATACTTTAGTGTTTTAAAAATTAGAACATTCATTTTAAAAGCTTTGTTTAAATGCACCCACAAATCCCTAAAGCCGACTAAACCCAGAGAAAGGAATAAGACAATATATTACAATTTCTAACACATTTTTCCAAAAACAATCACCAGAGCTTTTTCTCACCCAGATCAGCCCTCACCCTCCGATAAATATACTTCTCCATCATCCATAGGCTGAGAAAAAAAAATGCTTTAAATTGTGAAGCAGAGCAAAAAGGCAAATAACTCCTTTAAGTCAGTAAGTCCTTTAAGAAACAGCAAGATTTGGTAGCTAAATAGGTGTTGTTAAGGGGAGAATCCTATTACAGTTGTAAATACCCTGTCTCGCCCTTCCTCCTAGAAAAAGGCACTCCTAGAGAACAGGAACCCATTCAGCAGAACTGAATCCCCATCCCGTTTTTTACTATTAGTGCATTTTGGGAGTGCAGGAAGATACCACGGCTTGTGTATTTGTTACCTTCAGTCCTTTCTCATTTACCAGCTTTCTTTCCATCTGTGTCACTATTTACAGATGTTAAAAAAACCCTCTATTTCTTTTTCTTGAAATGATTAATCTTTTTTTTTTTTTTCCCCTTGTTCTTGAAAGCATGTAATCTTTCTATAAATAGGACCTGGTCCGTAGCTCCTGAAATTCCAATTCCACTGACCTTTTTAAAGCTTTACGTAGGACTTAAATTGTGGGAAGACAGTTAGTGTTATTCCCTAATGAGAGAATTACATTGTATTAAATTCCTTTACTTTTATCACATGAGCTAATGAAAAGGCCATTTATTTTTTTTTCCCCAAGGTAGCTAATTGCTCTAAAGGTGCAGATAGAAATACACAGCTCTCACCCCAGAAGTATTTACACAAAACCAAAATCCTATTATCAGAATAAAGCCCTATCTATTGACTGCTGTTTGAAAATTAGTCAATATGTTTCTGTCTTTAGCCAACTTTAGAAAATTTGAGCTAGTATTTTACACCTGAAAAATGGGGTACAATAATCTGTTACTGGGCCTTGATATAAATTGTTTCCTGCTTTTTACTGAGGTAGCATCCTATTGCCTCTTCTGGATGGTGCTACGAATTTATTAGACTCTGCATCCAGTTTCCTCATCTTGTATTATGTTGCCAAGTAGGAGACAAAATGTCTAGTAATTAAGGCTGCTTTTAAAGTTGAAGATGGCCTTTTAAAAGGCCAAGATTGAAATGGAAGATTGAAGACAAAAATATCTTTAACGAAAATAATCAAAAGGGGAAAAAAAAAATAAAAGGTTTATTTTAGACTTGGCATGAATATTGAATTACAATGGATTTAAAATATTCAGCAGGCAATAATAGCTAGGAAACAAATATCTGGCAAATTAGGCACTGAAATCTGTAGCAGGGGGTTTCATCACTCTTAGAAACAAGTTTTGCAGGAGCATTGATTATTTTTTTTTCTCCTGAATCAGGCAGCTACATATAAGACTGCTTTGTCTCACTAGTGTCTGTTGTCTTAGGAAAATCTGTTTAGTGGTCTGTGCTGTCGGAGTGTGTATGAACATGTAGTAAGTTTAAGTGTAGGAAGTAAAAAGTTAATTTTAAAAAAAACCAAACAACTGTGGTATATTACTGTTTTGTGAGAGGG